TTTCAGGTAGTATTTCTTCAAACAGGTTTTCTACCCCTTTCTTCTCCTTCTGGGAACCCTATTATGTGAATGTTGTTTTGCTTGAAGTTGTGGCAGAGATCTCTTAACCTCTCCTCTTTAAAAACTTCTTTTTTCTGCTGTTCAGTTTGATTGCTTTTCCCCACCTTTTCTTGCAGATTGCTAATCCGTTGTTCCACAGCCTTTAATCTGCTATGGATTCCCTGTAGTGTGTTTTTCATTTCACATATTGTATCCTTCAGCTCTGACAGCGTTTTTTATTATTTCCCATCCTTTTGTTAAAGTCCTCCCTGAGTTCATCTATTCTTCTGTCCAGTTCAGTGAGCATCTTTATGACCATTACTTTGAGTTCTTTATCAGGTAGATTGCTCTACTCTGTTTCATCTAGCAGGTTTTTTCCTGACATTTTGTCTTGTACTTTCATCTGGAACATACTCCTGTACCTCCTTATTTTGTCTGGCTCTCTGTGTTTGTTTCTGTGTATTCAGTCGGTTATGTCTCTTGGTCTTGCATGCAGTGGCTTTATGTAGTAGACATCATGTGGTACCAAGAAGTGCAATACCCCCTGCTCACCAGAACCAGGTGGCTCCAGGGGAGTCTACTATATGGGCTGTGTGCACCCTTCTGTGGTGGCTGAGTCAGGTTGCTGCAGGTGGGCTGTTGTCCCGGCCAGCCCTGCCTGGCTCTCAGCAGTGATGGCTGTGACTGCTGCAGGGGCATGGGCTCGCAGGCTCACTCCCCGTGTGGCCTCCAAGAGGCTCTGCTGCAGCCCCTGCAGGTGCGCTTGCTCACAGGTGGGCCCAGCTTCAGCCTGGCTGTCAGCAAATGCTGGGCAGGGAGGGGGCAGGTTGGGAACTAATGTGAGCATGCTGGTGGGTGGAACTAGTTCCTCCCCTCAGGGCAGGAGATACTCTGGTCCTGGCAGGGGCTAGTTGCTGGGTATGGTAGGTTGGTAGTTGCTCTGGGGGGGATACCAGTCCCAACTGAGGCTGTTCCCTGGTTGTGGTGGTGTGGCAATCGCTTTGGAGGGGCACCTGCTGGGGTGGAGGGTTGGGCAGGGCAAGTCTGCAGGGAAACACAGGGCAAAACAAGCAGTAGAGTCATGGTAGATGGAGAGTTTCAGTTGGCTCCTGCAAGCATCTGGTCAGCTAGGGTGAGGGAGGGCAAGAAAATGGTGCCAGCTAGCCTCTTCTTCCCTGGAGAGAGCTCCTGCAGATCTTGCCCCTCAGGCTCATGGCCCAAAGTTAATTGTTAATTCTTCACGTATAACCCAGGTGCTTTTCAAATTGCTACTTCTGTGCTGGGTCTCAAACTGATCACCATCCAGGAGCAGAGGCTCATTCCAGCAGCCCTGCAGCTCTCCTGGAGTTAAGCCCTGCTGATTTCAGAGCCACCTGTACAGAAGCTCATCTAGTGCAGGTTCCCAGGGTCTGGCTGCCAGGATGCCAGGTGTGGGGCTTTACCTCCTTGCTCCCTCCTTCTTGTGGGCTGGGTTTGGAGAAGGGTTTGGATCCTGACTATGGCTCTGCCTCCTTCATTTTTCTTAGTGTGGCCTTTTCTTTGTCATTCACTTTGGCAGGTCTGTTCTGTAGTCTTTGGGTTGTTTTCAGAGTTGTTATATATGTTGTTGCTGCCTTGGTATGTGCATGGGAGGAAATGATCAATGTGACTTCCTATTCTGCCATCTTCCCAGGATCCCCACCCCTCTGCTCATTTTTTAATCGATGATTTGGTTTTCTGCTATTGAGTTATATGAGTTCCTTATATATTTAGGCTCTAAACCCTTTATCAGGTATATGGTTCGTAAATATTTTCTGCCATTTGATAGGTTGCCTTCTCATTTTGTTGATGGTGTCCTTTGCTGTGTAGAAGCTTTTGGTTTGATGTAGTTCCACTTGTTTTTGTTTTTGTTGCTTGTACTTTTGGTATCATATCCAAAAAATTGCCAAGACCAATGTTAGGAAGCTTTTTCCCAGTGTTTTCTTCTAGGAGCTTTGTAATTTCACATCCCACATTTAAGTCTTTAAGTCTGTTTTGAGTTAATTATTATGAGTAGTGTAAGATAGGGGTCCAGTGTCGACATTTTGCATGTGAATATCCAGTTTTCAAACACTATGTTAAACAATCTCTTTTCCCCTTTGGGTATTTGTGGCTCAAATATTAGTTGACTATGTATGTGTGGGTTCATTTCTGGGATCTGTTATGTTCCATTGGTCTGTGTGTGTGTTTATGCCAGTATCATACTGTTTTGATTATTGTAGCTTATAGATTGAAATCAGGATGTGTGATGCCTTCAGCTTTGTTTTTGTTTTTTCCTCAATATTGCTTTGACTATTCAGGGTCTTTTGTGATTCCATGAGGTTTTTAGGATCACTTTATTTATGTGAAAAATGCCATTGAAATTTTGATAGGGATTGAATTAAATCTGTAGATGGCTTTGAGTAGTATGGACATTTTAGCAATATTCTTCTTGTCCATGAACATGGGATATTCCATTTATTTGTATAGTTTCTTTCATCAATGTCTGACAGTTTTCAGTGTATAGATATTTCATTTCCTTGGTTAAATTTATTCCTATGTATTTTATTGTTTTTGATGCCATTGTAAATGAGATTGTTTTGTTTTTCAGATAGTTCATTGTTAGTGCACAGAAATGCAACTGCTTTTTCTATGTTGATTTTATATCTTGCAATTCATTTTTTAGTTTTAACAGTTTTTTGGTAGAGTCTTTAGAGTTTTCTATATATAAAATCAGGAGATCTGCAGAGACTGTTTTACTTCAACCTTTCTGATTCAGATGCCTTTTCTTTTTCTTATCTGATTGCTGTGGCTAGGACTTCCAGTACTGTGTTGACTAGGAATAGTGAGAGTGAACACCCTTGTCTTGTTCCTGATCTTAGAGGAAGTTTTCAGCCTTGCACCATTGCGTATGTTGTGTATGGCCTTGGTTGTGTTGCAGTACATTCCTTCTATACCTTATTTGTTAAGAGTTTTTAACATGAATGGATGTTGAATTTTGTCATATGCTTTTTGTGCATCTTTTGAGATGATTGTATGATTTTTATCTTCCATTATGTTAATGTGGTATATATGTTTATTGGTTTGCTTGTGTTGACCATCCTTGCATCCCAGGGATAAATCCCACTTAATCATGCTATATGATCCTTTCAAAGTCCTGTGCAATTCAGTTTGCCAGTATTCTGTTGAGAATTTTTGGTCTGTATTCAACAGGGATATTGTCCTGTATGTTTTCTTTTTTCGTAGTGTCTGTATTGGCTTTGGTATCAGAGTTAATGCTGGTCTTGTAAAATGAATTTGGGAGTGCTCCTCCTTTTCAGTGTTTTAGACTAGTTGGAGAGGGATTGATACCATTTCTTTAAACATTGTGGTAGAATTCACCAGTGAAACCATCTGGTTCTAGGTGTTTCTTTGTCCGTGCTCAGAGGCCTGCCCTTAAGTACAGATTTCAGGGCATGGATTAGAACCAAAACTTAATACCCTGCTCAAGGCTGAGATGTCTGGGCTGCTTTATGCATCTCACTCAGGCAGAGATGGTAGCAGTGAGTACTCCAAAATCCCTTTCCTACTGCCTCCAAGATAGCTTGTCCACTCTTACTTCTCCTCAAGAGCCCCTTAGGAACAAGATAAAGACTTGAATGAAGTTTGTGATTATTAGAGAAACAAAGTGCTCCTTAAGGTCTGAGCAAGAGCCATTAATCCTGCAGATTAGCTTCTGTAGCTTCCGAAGCTGTGGCATTTTGAGAGGACACGAACGAGCCTCTCTAAGGACACAACCAATTCTGAATGCAAATTTTTGCTCTTCATTTCTTCACACTTACAACATTAGGTCCTGTTGAGTTTGCTAACCATGTGGTATGTGATTTAAATCCAGGCCTTTTGGACAAAGCTGACTGAGCAATTTTTTATTGACCAGGAAGCCAACCCTATAAATAACTCCTCTTATAATAGCTGAAGGCTATTTGCATTTCTGCTTTTCAAAAAAAAAATTGCTAGGTTAACAAAAACATTCTATATGATGGTTCTGTCAGTAACATGTACCTATAAAAGGATTTTGTGTTTCTAAAGGAACCTAGACTAATGCTCATTCAGCCATGTAATGTGGGGCTGGCCTCCTTCTCAGTGGTGGGCTCTTACTCACTCTCACTGCTCTAAAGAGGCAGGCTGAGGTACTGAGGAGAGAAGAGGCCTGCCTGGTCATGAGTGGCAGCTGTTTATTCACTCAATCAGTCCTCTGTGGCTCCAGTCAGGAAATGTGTGTGGAGTGCCTGCTGTGTGCTGGGCTTCGGGTGGGACCCCAGAGTGTCACAGAAACCAGACATGCCCAGGTGCTGCCTGTGGACATAACAGTCTGGTGGGGGAGACACCCCAAGAATAGCAATTTTGAATGAGATGGGTAATTATAAAGAACAGGTGTAGGGGCCAAGGATGGCCTCCCAGGAGGAGGTGATGTTTATGCGGAGATCTCAAGGTTGACAGGAGCTGGCTAGGTAAAATGGGAGTCAAGGAGAGAGTACTCCATGCAGAGAAGAGCACGTCCAGGGCTCTGCGGTGATGAGGAGCAGAGGTCTCCTGGGGAACTGAGAGGAGTCTAGTTTACTGGAGGGCAGGCAGTGTGGGGAGAGCCCCCTCAATGACAGAGTCAGACACTGGACCCAGGCATAGGGGTGCCACGCCCCTTTCTCCTCTCCCTCCTGAGTGGCAGTGGGCCCAGGGCATTGGTGTTGGCCAGGAGGGCATCTCTGCAGAGCGAGGGGGGATTGGGCACCTGGTGGGGCCTTGGGGCTGGACTGTGTCTGCCTCCTTCCAGCTCAGAGCTCAGACCTCTGTTCTGATGGCCTCTGTTGAACCTACATCCTTAGGCCCAGGGCTAGTCACTGGCATGTGGCGGATGCCCAGCACGTGTTTTCAGTTGACCAGCATTTCCTGAGAAGACTGTTTTCTCAGTGTTGTTTCTCTCTTAGAGTGGATGAGGATGAGGATGACCTGGAGGAAGAACATGTAACTAAGGTAAGACCTTGTCCTGGGAATTCTGCTGTAATGGGTGCCGAGTCCAGGGCTCTCCATCCCCAGGGACCGTGTGACAGTCCCTTCATCTGCTTCCCCCTCTTGCTGTTGAAGGGCTCCAGTCTGCTGAGTGGGGCTCCCCAGGCCCGGACCATGGTCCCCAGGTGCTCACCTGGCAGGTGGGGCTGGGCTCCTGGGATGAGGCTTGGCTCAGGTGCCCCAGGGCGTCAAGGAGCTGCCTCCTGGGCTGAGGCTATGCTTTCTCCTCCATGGGGGTGGCGGGAGGGGGAGACAGGCCAGAGCAGGAATGCTCCACCCTTGGCCCCCCCATGGTCTGTTCCTCGTTTGTGTGTGTGTGTGTGTGTGTGTGTGTGTGTGATTTGCATGGAATGCCTCTCGGTAGGTGTGGGTGGCACCTCTCTGATTTAGAGAGATTTGCTTTCATTCATGTGAGACTAGTTTTTGTTTTTGAAATGAGGCATTCCCCTCCCTACTTTTCCTTTTCTCACTCCTCTGGATCTTAGAGGAGCCCAGACTGTGTTCAGATGAACCCCTGCCTGCCGGCAGCCCTGCGCATTGAGCCCTCAGGGAGCCCTCCCCAGCACACTCCCCAGAATCAGTCTCTCCCCTGTCAGGAATCACCACTCTGGGAAGTACTGTTCCCAAGGGGACCAAGGCCTGCAGAGACAGAGCATCCAAGGCTGGGGGCTGCTGACGGGAGGAGTTCCATCTTGCAGGAACTCTCTGGAACTTCTGGAGCTGAGGGTGCAGTGGGGACACATTAGCACAGACTTGCTCCGGGAGGGTCACCTTGCTCTCTGTGTCTTTGAGGCCATTCCCTGTTCCTCAGCCTCTTGGGCCATGGCATTCTGTGATGTGCAGAGGATATTCAGGTACGGTGCAGTCTCCTCTTTGAAATCCCCTTCTTTTTCTTTGGAGCAGATCTATTACTGTAGTCGGACACACTCCCAGCTGGCCCAATTCGTGCACGAGGTCCAGAAGAGCCCTTTCGGCAAGGACACCCGGCTTGTGTCCCTTGGCTCTCGGCAGGTACACAGAGGCAGGGTGTCTCAAACCAGGCACACCCTGGTCCCTTCCCTGTGCCTTCGTCTTCCTCTCCCAGGCAGGCCAAGTGGTGGGTCCATGGAACAGAGGCAGCTGGGTGGGCAGCCCCGGGTGAGTGCTGTATATCATTTTGCCAGCTCCATTTCTTTGACTCTTCCTCCCTCCTCTGCCCGTAGAACCTGTGTGTAAACGAAAATGTGAGGACACTCGGTTCTGCGCAGCTCATCAGTGACCGCTGCCTGGAGATGCAGAGAAGCAAACATGGTAGCCACAGTGCCCTTGAGCTGCAGACAGAGCCCCTGGGGCTGTCATGTAGCCTTAGGTGGTGCTGGGAAAGGGGGCAGGAGTGGAGTGGACCCAGGGGTGCAGGAGATAAGGGCAGACTCCCAGCTGGCAGAAATGGAGGCAGAGCCGAGCCCAGGTTCCCCCTAAAGGCCGTCTCCTTGGGAAGGGGCGTTTTGCTTGCTGGGTCAGCATCTGGTCCGAAACCCTGACTCTCAGACAAGTTTATCAGCTGCTCCTGAGAACACAAAGCAGGTAGGTGCCAGGGTGCTCTGAGGAGACCATCGTAAGCAGTACTTGGAAGGGCTTTCTAGACCCCATAGAGAGAGGTCTTAACACTGCAGACCAGCTCCTGGCCCCATGGACAGTTAGCATTCTTTCTGCCCTTGTCCCTTGGGCCTCTGCCACCCTCAGAGAAGAAGAGCAAAGCTGAGGAAGAGAAGCCCAAGAAGAGAAAGCAGGAGCCTCAGGCTGCCTGCCCCTTCTACAACTGTGAGCAGCTGCAGCAGCTCCGGGATGAGGTCCTGGCGGAGGTGAAGGACATTGAGCAGCTGGTGGCCCTGGGGAAGGAGGCTCGGGCCTGTCCCTATTATGGGAGCCGGTTTGCCATCCCAGCAGCCCAGGTGAACACCCTGGAGGGTTGGGCAGCAGCTCTTGTCTCTAACTGCAGCCTAGGCCACAAGGGAATTCCCTATTCCTCTTTTCATTCAGAAGGGTATCCCTGGCCAGGGGTGGACTCACGTGTAACCCACTCTCCTAGTACATCAGGTTGGGGCAGCTCCAGTGTCCTTGGTGGCTCTGGACCTCCGGGACAGTTGGCATTATTGTGGGACAGCAGAGAAGAGCCAGGAAGGACTGTGAATTCCTGATGAAAAACTAGTAGAGGTGCCAGGGATGCAGGGAGGGAGCTGCAGAATGTAGATATGTTTCCAAATGGCCTTTCAGAGCAACTGTCCCAACTTAATGCACCTGCCTGCCCCATGTGGGAATACCATCTTCTCTAGACTTGCCGTATTGACTGTTAGCTTTAACCAGAGAAAAACTGCCATTTGGACATACTGTTATCTGGTAGGTGTGATTTAAACTGTTTTCTGCCACTTGCTTAATTTGACTTTCGGGAAAAGGTATCATTCACGGAGAATTCCATGCAATCAAGAAGAGATCTAAGTAGATTTTCAAAGATGCAGGGAACTACGTGGGTAATAACTTCTACATGGCGGTGGAGTGCCCATCGGTACATGACCCTGACCTGTTGGGGGGTACCCCCCTGGAAGTCTGGGATCCTCCCAGCTCACTGGTCTCATGCCCTTGCCAGGTGCTATTTGCCACAGCGTAAGGTTAGTGCTATTAACATGCATATGCAAAAATAGTAAGATGTCCTGAAATTTTTATGATCTTAACTTAGTAAGGCACTTTTCACCTCATTTTTGCTTTTATAGTGTCCCACTTAAATGGCTAAGGCAGATGTTATCCATATTGTACACATAAGGACACTAAGGCCCAGAAAGGCTGTGATTTATGTTTTCTCACAGCAAGTGAGTAATGGAGCCAGTATTAAAACCCTAGTCATAAGTTTCCAGTTTTCTGGATTTTCACATGTTTGTCAGTATTGTTCTAACTGGAAAATTATCCTCACAACACTGCACCTAAAATTTACAGTGTGCTTTTATTTTTGTGACCCCAATGTCTACTCTGTCGATCTGCATTTGAGATAAAGCTTATCAAGCCCATTTTGCAGCTGAGAAAATCGAGGTTCAGAGAGGTGGTGAGTTTCCCAAGAGTCACACGGCTGGGAAGTGGCCAGAACCCAGGGCTGCTTTTAATACTCGAGGGGTTTTCACATTTGAGCCAACTTGGGTGCTTCTACCTTGGGGGCACGTTTAGTCCTCAGTTCAGTTGGAAGTCAGAGCGGCTCCCATTTTAGCTGTTCTGTATATTTGATGTGGCCCCTAAAACTTTTGAGGAAAGGGTTTGCAGCCAAAAGCCCAGTACTGTGCTGTAGGTTTCTCTCTCAAGTTCCCTTCACATATTCCGGGCAGCACATAGAACCACTCACATCAGGAGCTTAGTATCAACTGGGCCCCCCCACCTGTGGGATCTCAGGCTGCCCATCTCCTCCCCAGCTGGTGGTGCTGCCCTACCAGATGTTGCTGCATGCGGCCACCCGGCAGGCCGCGGGGATCCGGCTGCAGGGCCAGGTGGTGGTCATCGACGAGGCGCACAACCTGATTGACACCATCATGGGCATCCACAGTGCCGAGGTCAGCGGCTCCCAGGTGGGTCAGCCTCGCTGTCCCGGGCCAGGCCTGCTATGGGACGAGGCACGTGGTTGCTCCTCTCAGTACCCAGAGTCCCTCTGTGGAGGGGGCTTGGCAGAGGGTGCCCAGAGTCAAGGCAGTGCCGTCATCAGAGACAGAATCTGGCTTCCCAGCAGATCTTAGACTACAGAGGCCTAGCTCAGGAGAGGCAGCTCATTTCCCTGCTCTTTACCAGCCTGTGTCACCCCAGGTCCTCCCAGCCCAGGATGCTAACTAGTTCTCCATTACCCCAGGCAATGGGACTGAAGAAGCAGGGGTACCCATGTAGTGGGATGTTATTACCGATGCTGCTTTGAGGGACGCTCAGGATTTCTGAAAGCCACCATTTATTTACTTTTTACTTTTCCTGTGCCACACCACACGAGGAGTCTCTAATTTTCACACTGACTACATGGTGCTAGTGTTTTGGTTTTGTGTTGAAAACTCTCAGATTCAGAGTGGCTTAAGCAGTGTGTCTAAGGTCACACAGCTAATTGTGGAGCTCTGATTTGACCACTGGTTTCTGACCCCACATGACCTCCCACCACCTCTACTGATCAGTGCCTGGGTGACCTTCAGCCAAAATGTGATGGCTGCCTTGAACCAGACAGCAAGTCCTTCCCCAGCCCAGTAAAAACTAGCAGGGGGACTCCCTCCCTGAGAGATTCAGCCTCTTGCTTTTTCCCTGATTCAAAGTGGACCGTGTGGCAGAGCCTGCCTTTCTTCTTTTAAAACCCGTGCCTTTTGTCTGTACCCAGCCCCACTGTCCGCACCTTGGTGTCTCCCTGTATGTCCTGGCTGGCATTCTCTAGGAGTAACTAAGATGTCACTGGTACAGGCCTTGGCTGTCTGCCCAGAGCCTGGTCTGCCTTCTCACCTGTTCTCTGTCCTTCCCCAGCTCTGCCATGCCCACTCCCAGTTGCTCCAGTATATGGAACGATACGGGTGAGACACTGACCCCTGAAGGGGAGGGAAGGCCCTGCCCACCTCAGGGCCCTGTTAGCCTCTGACAGGGGGCATGTGGGGCACCGTCAGTGGCCTGCCTGGGCCCTGCATCGGGTGGGCCAGCGTGCTGTCACCGTGGCGTGTACCCCATACAGACCAAGGGCACTTGAGACTGAGAGCTGGCTGTGAAGGCCTTGGGCCACGACCAGCCATTTTTCCTGGGAGTGTATTTGTACCTGTGACCCTCTTGGAAAGATAACAGACAGATAGGCCTCAGCATGGGGCCTTGGGAGGGCAGTTGCTGTTGGATTACCACCACTTGACAGCCATTTTTGTCTCCTCAGGAAGCGTCTGAAGGCCAAGAACTTGATGTACATCAAACAGATCCTGTATCTGCTGGAGAAGTTTGTAGCCGTGCTAGGCGGTAAGGAGCACCATGGCTGGGCCTGTGGAACTTACTGGACTCCATTCTCTGGATGCAAGTCCAGAAACCTGGATTTTCTGTGTCCTCAAGAATTGTACTGACCATTGATTTAGAAAATTCTTAATTTTTATAGCTTGGTTGAATTGTCTGACCTTAGATCTTTTTCTAGAATCCTAGTTTATTTGCCCCTGTTCTGAGTCTTTTATTTTGCCAAATTTTACTGCACAGGTTGTATTCATGATAACAGAATATAAATACAGGTGTATGACATGTTCTATAGCCATGAGAGTGCTCTGACAGTCTGCTGTGAGGAAAGCAGCAGGCAAGCTGACCTCCTAGCCAATGAGCCAGCCAAACCTCAGGGCAGACAAGTGACCTGCCCCATGGGCCCAGGAAGAGGGACTGGAGTCTCTGGATCCAGGTCCCTTGCATTCTTTGCTCCATGCCCTTTCCTTTACTGTAGAGCAATCCCTCTGAAGTTCCAGAAAGCCAGCGAGGGATTTTTCTCAAGGGTTTTTGTTTCATTGGTGCTCTTTACTTCCATCCCTACCAGCACTGGTCACCTGCATAAAGTGGGGAGGTCCCTCTGTCCCGGCCTCCTTTGAGCAGGCGTGAAAAGAATGAAATCACATGCTTTGGGCTCAGTACGCAAATATGGGTCAGACTTTGAGGCTCCCTGGAAGGCTCTCAGTGGGTTCTCGGTGTGCTATAAATGGCAGAAATCCTGTTGAAGTGTGGGTGCTCTTCATATTTGAATGGAGAGTGTGAAGGTGGAGAGCCAGAGGGACCACCATCCTGACCTGTTCAAATTCTGTTTTAGGGAACATTAAGCAAAATCCCAATACCCAGAGCCTCTCGCAGACAGGTAAGCAGGCTGCCCTCCGCGGCCCAGAGCTGGTCTGAGCTGTGTCTGAGCGTTTCTCCGGGACCATGGTCTTCAGGACAAGGACTCCAAGGCCCTCTGTTTGTTTCCTCTCAGGGACAGAGCTGAAGACCATCAACGACTTTCTCTTTCAGAGCCAGATAGACAACATCAACCTGTTCAAGGTAGAGGTTTTCATCTTTTTATATTGGCTGTGTGTGTCCTGGCTGGCATTCTCTAGGAGTAACTAAGACATCAGAGTTCCTTGTCTTTATCACCACCTGTGGGCAGAGCCCAATGTAAAGACCACAAAAGAGATAAAAAGTAAATTCCTTCTGTCCTCAGGTGGCCTGGAGGTCTGAGACCTACAACATAGGTGTTTGTAATTACTTAACCCTTAAACAGAGCAACGTGTCAGCAAGAAGAAAATAATCTTTGACTGAGGGTTGGAAGATCGCAGGGGCTGGGGAGAAAGGTGTCTTTCTTTGTACCTACTTAGCACAAATGAACTCCAGGGGCTTTGCCTCCCTCCATCTGTCCTCAGGCAGTCCTTCCCCTGGGCTTCTGGACAGAGCAGGAAGCCACCTTGGTGAGCATTGTCCTGCCATAGGCTGAGGGTGAGGACATGCTTGAGCTGCTCTCTTGGCCCCCCTCTTCATCCTGCTCCAGGCCTGCATGGCTGCGCTCTCCCGGGTGGGGCACACCCACCACCACACTATTCGCACCCTCAGTGATTCCAAATTAATAACACGGAGCACTTGCTGTATCTGAGGCAGTGCGCCAGGTTCTGAGACCACAGGTAGGCTGTCGTACCACCATTCAAAAGCAAAGGGAACAGGCTCAGAGAGATTTCCTCAGGAAGACGCAGGGCACAGGCCACACAGGAGTGAGCCAGCCAGTGAACCCAGGGGCTTGGACTCAAGATCCTTCCCTCTTTCCACCCTTTCCTGTTTTTCTTCAAACCAGCTTGCCCCTGACCTCCCATTTTGGTCATGGTCTCTGCCATTATCCCCATCAGACAGGCTGGCAGTCCGAGTCATCTTTTCTTACTATTTTTTTTGTGTGATGTATAGCTGGCATAGTATTAGTTTCCAGCATACAGCATAGTGATTTGACATTTATATACATTGCAAATGCTCACCGTGGTAAGTGTAGTTATCATCTCTCACCACACTAAATTATTCCAGTATTACTGTTGGTGGTCCCATGCTGTACTTTCATCCTGTGACTTACTGTTTAATAATTGGAAGTTTGTACCTCTCAGTCCCCTCACCTGTTTTGTCCATCCCCACCTTCCCTCCCTTCTGTCAACCACCAAATCTCTGTACTTATGAGTCATTTTCTGAGTGTGTGTTTTAATTTTTTTAGATTCCACGTAAGTGAGATCAAATGGTATTTGTCTTGCTCTGGCTGATTTATTTCACTAACAAGATTTTCTTTTTTATGGCTGAATCTATTGTGTATGTGTACCACATCTTTATCCATTCAACCATCGTTGGACACTTAGGCTGCTTCCGTGTCTTGGCTATTATGAACAGTGCTGCATTGAACATAGGGGTGCATGTGTCTTTCCGATATGGAGTCATTTTGAGACTTCTGATCCCTTTCCCCCAGTCACCGGCCCAGGAGCCTTAAGCAGCTCTGGTCTTACCGTTGCTTCCCCAGGGCTGCTCCTGCAGTGCGGGCTCCTTTTCCTTTTGCCTCCTTCCTGGTCTTACTTTCATTCTTTCTCCTTCCCAATGTCTTTTATAAACCCCAGTCTAGTGAATGATACGCAAAAGCTATTACTCTTTTCAGAAATTCTTAAAGGCTCCAAACTCACTGTCTTGGGTTTCAGGCTGCACAAACTGTTCATGCCAAGTAACTGTACTTCAGATGTATCCCGAGCAAGTCCCCAGCTTTACCTCCCATGTGCCTTTGCTCATTGGGCATTCATTTTAACTCAGTCCTTCAAGTTCCAGCTTAGGTGCTATCACACCTAAGGAAAGCAGAGGAGATATAACTCGCCACGCGCCTGTAGAGGGCCAGAGCCGTGCAGATGTGTTTGTGAGGAGGCCACTTGCCTGAGGCTGGGGAGGTCCTCTCCTGGGAGGGCCCGTGTTGTGGGGTGGGGGGCAGTGGCAGGTGAGTGGCCTCAGAAAGGAGGTTCATGTGGCCACAAAGAGGTGGCAAATTGTTCTCCCTGGATTTCGGAAGATGGATGTCTTTTTTCCAGCTTGGGTGACATGCACACATGCCCACGGCTGGGTCTGCTCTTGCAGGTGCAGCGCTACTGTGAGAAGAGCATGGTCAGCAGGAAGGTACGTTCACCCCTTTCTGGGGGCCCGGAGGTACCCAGCAATGCCCTGCTTTTGCCACCCTCAGTGCCTTTCTCCTTGCCCTTTGGGACCTCTGGAGCCTCTAGGACCTTGGTCTTGTTCTCCTTATTGTGGAGCGGCTTAGCTGGGGTGGGCAGGGGCGCCCAGATGCCTGTGGGCTGTTGGGGCTGGCAGAGCCCCTCTTCCACTCTGGACTCACACACTGCGCCCTCATTCCTCACTGTGTTCTCTCACTCCTTGTCTCAGCTCTTCGGCTTCACAGAAAGGTATGGAGCAGTCCTCACCCCATGCAGGGAGCAGCCCAAACTGGCTGGGTTCCAGCACTTCCTGCAGAGCCTACAGCCCAGGGTAGCTGAGGGTGAGTCAGGGGGATCCTGCAGGCCCTCCAGCAAGAATGTGTGTACCTCAGGCTGGGCTCAGCTCCCCTGGGTGAGCAGCAGGGGCCTCCCTTCGTGGTCCCAGACCTCCTTCCTTCCTTCATCTGCAGAGGCCCCTGTAGAGGAGGTGGAAGCCAGGGCACCACAGCCTGCTTCCCCGCTGATGCACATAGAAGGCTTCCTTGCAGCTCTCACCACTGCCAACCGGGACGGCAGGGTCATCTTGAGCCGCCAAGGTAATCCAGGAGGAGCCAGCCTGGAGCCAGGGGCCAGAGCATGCAAGGGATCTTTACTTCACTCCTGGCACCTCCCAGGGTTCAGATGAGGAAATGGGGTGATAGCTGGCCTCCCATGACCTGGGTAGATGGTCATGGGGAGGAGGGATGCAGAGGCACTGAGATGGTGGGTCAAGGTTACAAGAGAAGCCACATGGCCTAGTGGTTAAGGTAGGGAGGCTTTGGGTTGAGTCTTGGTTGATCTGTGAGCTGTGTGACTTGGCCCAGTTTCTTTATGACTCTGAACGTGTTCTGTGCAAAGGGAGGGAATGGTGGTGTCCACCTCAGGGTTGTTCTGGTGCTTCGGCAGGATCTAAGTTGAAAGGGAAAGGTAGACCCACCTGGAGATCCCCTTCACCTCAGGCTGGTGGAAGTATTGGTGGGGCCTGAACCCCACCCCTTCCCCATGTAGCTGTCTTTTATCTGTCTTTTTTTAGGCAGCCTCAGCCAGAGCAGCCTCAAATTCCTGCTCCTGAATCCAGCTGTGCCCTTTGCCCAGGTGGTGAGGGAGTGCCGGGCAGTAGTCATTGCGGGGGGTACCATGCAGCCGGTAAGGCACCAGACTTGGGTGTTGGGATGGGACAGGGAAGGACAGGAAGTATCAGGCCGCCATTCCTGCAGGTCCCCAAACCAGAAAGGGTCAACTTGAGCAGGCCACACAGCGTCCACCAGGTGGCATTGCTGTTCTGTCACTGCCTGGCCTTGCAGCCTGGGGGGAGGGGCAGGGGTGGCCCTGCTGTGCCCGGGGTGGGGGAGGTGGTTTCTGCGGCCACCGGAACGTGCTTCTCCCAGGGATGCCTCTCTGGAGGTTCAGACCCTCACCTAGCTGCATCAGTGGGTACCATTTCTGTACCCACCACAGATACAACATTCCTTCACTTCCAGAAATTTAAATTGTAATATATATATTTTTAGAAAAGTATCTTTTCACTGTAGAAAGCCAAGACAAACAGAAATAGGAAAAAAATTCCACCAGGGAGATTCATTTTGGTGTGTATCATTGTAATAGTCTTTGTATAATTTTTACAAGTATGCATACATATTTTAAAAACAAAAATCTCTATCTCTGCATGCTATTATTATAATTTGTTTTTCTCAGCAACAAACAATCATAAACATTTTTCCTTATCAGCAGTATTCATTTATTCTGCCATACTCTGGCTGTACTTCATTCCATTACATGAATACATGGTATTTTATATAACCACTCTTTTTGTTAGGTATTTAGGTGATCTCCAGTTCCTCTGCTGTAAACACTACATGGTAGATAGAACTACATCTCCACACCATGGTTATATCCTTAGGAGGCATCCTTGGACAGGACTCCCTGGATAAAAGGCTGTTCAGCATTCTCAGGCACTGCATGCTTCCCAGCATCAGCTGCTGGACTCGCCCCTGTGGCTTGATGATTTTTCCATTTTCTTGTGTATAGACTTGTGGGTTTTTATTCATTCATTTATTTTAAAAAAGCACGTAGAGTCGAGTCATTGTTGCTTTTGTTGCACAAATTGTCTCAAACTTGGCCCATGGGGCCCCCTCATGCCACCTTTGGCCTTTGACCTGGCCCCATTAGCCTTGGATGCTTTCTGCCACAAGAGACTGTCCCAGGCTGCTTTATCCTTTCTTTGCCCCAGATTTGGAGTCACACATTTCTCCAAGGTGCCCTGGTTTCTGTTACTGGGGATTGTTATTTAGAAACCAACATCTGGGTGCTGGGTGTTTGTGGTGCTCCTGGACTACCACAGTTTATAGGCCTTTTCAGTAGACAGACCTATGAAATGTTTTCAGTAATCATGAACCCATATTGATATTTCTAAATCAGTAACTTTATTTGGTGTTACACTGTGTCTTCTATCTTGAGCTGAACATTTGGTTTCTACATTAACAATTACTTATTTGCTTTATCCCACAATATACTTAAAATAATTTCAAGATTATACCATGAATATTATTCTAACAATAAAATGCTGATTGAAATTTCATTTCTTTGCATTCATTTTTTGCCCTTAGGGTATATCCCACTAAGGCTGTGGGTTGGTCACTGAGGATATGAAGTCACTGAAAGTAGGCTTTGCTTTGCTTATGTTGTGAATTTGATAGGAAGCTACGCTTTCTGTGTTTCAGTTTGTTTTCAACTTTAGAGTTTGCCTTTTTATTTTTGACTTGATTATATTTTTAAAATATGTAAACATGTTTCAAAAGTCAAAACTATATAAAAAGATACTTTCAGAAAGTCTCCCATCCACTCCATCAGTAATCACTTTTATCAGCTACTGATCTATCCTTACACTGTTTCATCATCTTTCTGCAAAAATAAGCAGATGTATGTACTTACATTTTCCCCTTTCCTTTTTTATTTACACCAAAGGTGGCATAATCAGTTTATTTGCCAGGATGTTCTGGGGGTCACTTGGCATCAGTACACGGGGTGGGCCGCATGCCCTTTGTGCTGCATAGTTCTCCACTGGATGGATGCATCCTAGCTTACTTAGCCAGTTCGGCTTGAAAGGCAGCCTTGCCGTCACAGACAAGTTCTTGAGAAGTCTCTTCATGCATGTGTTATTTGGTTTGTGGAGCTGTGTCTTCAGGGGACTCCTTAGATACGGGATTGCCAGGTTAAAAAGTAAAAATAGATCTCATTTGTTATGTATTGTCAGTTCTCCTCCAGCTGGAGTTACTATTCTGTAGCAATCTGTAAGAGGGCCCCTTTCTCCAGAGTGGTCAAACTTTGGGGTTTTGCCACATGTGGAAAACCTGGAGCTCTTAAAAAATACAGATGCATATGTTCCCCTACGAGTTTTTACTGAATAATTTGGTCCGGGGCTTGGCCCTGTGTATTTTCATTCACCAGTGATCTTGCTGAATAGCCTGGGTTGAGACCAACTGTGTCAAATTTGCCAAATCCCCTTTGCTATTCCCACCGTCTGCCACCTTGGGGTATTGTTATTACTATTATTATTTTGCTAATTTATCAGCCTTTCCTTGTACCTGATTTTCCTGTTCTTGTGTACTTGGCTGCCTTCAGACCAGACACCCGCCCAACATGATTCTCTCCCCCTTTCCCTGCCGAGGCCTTGTCTGCTCAGGCCTGGGGTCCCTGTCCCCAGACCTCTGGGAGATCACAGAGCCTTGATGTTGTGATCTACAGGTGTCTGACTTTCGGGAGCAGCTGCTGGCATGTGCTGGGGTGGAAGCTGAGCGAGTGGTGGAGTTTTCCTGTGGTGAGGAACATGTCCAGGGCAGAGTGGGCCACACAGTCACATGGTGGCCCCTTGTCATGTAACCATATGCTGTTATCAGGCCCAACGGGCTTTGGAGACCACAGGGGGGCTTCATCCTTTGGTAGCTTTCTGGTGAGCTCATTTGTCCCCATGCTCTCATGTTCAGTGTCCCCTCCGTCTGAACATTGCCCAGTTTTATTGTAGAAATGGGGTGGTGGTGTTATAAATTGCTGTTCCTGGTCTAGAAGACAAGGGTTGGGGGTTGCTCTTTCTGGGTTCTGCTTTGCAGGATGGCTTACACCTCCATTTTCAGCCCCTCTCTGAATTTTACCAGGTCATGTGATCCCTCCAGACAATATCTTACCCCTCATCATCTGCAGCGGGCCCTCCAACCAGCAGCTGGAATTCACATACCAGAAAAGAGAGCTGCCTCAGATGGTTAAGTACCAGCCAGCTTGCCTTACCACAGCCTCTGCTGGAGCAGAAGAGAGATTTCCCGGGGTGGGGGGCACTCTGGCCAATTCTGAGTGCTCAGGCACTGGGGGAATTAGTTCTGGGGTCTTGTATCATAGAACTGGCTCAGGGTGAATCATATCTACCTAGATGTTTATCAAGGAAAGTCTGGGCTTACCCCTACCCTTCACCCCTTAGACTGCCAAATGTCTTCTTAAACCTCCAGGCATCCCTTTAGGATAAAGCTAAGGAGAAGGCTGCTCATTTCCTTTGCTTTCTTGCCATTTGGGTCTATCAGCCCCTGGCTTAGACAGGGATGCGGGTGTTGGGACACATCACTGGGGTGTGCCTGGGCTTTCAGTGCCTGCTGTGTGATAGATGGTTCCCACCTGGACCTTGTGAGTTGGAGAAGGGGGTGCTTAGTGGCACGCTGCCAGCATGTCTTAGTGCTGCAGTGCTAGCATTGTGATGTGTGTCGTAACTGCCACCAGTCCCCAGAAGCATCAGTTGGGTGTGTTGGGAGGGAAGGTAGCACTTGCCAGTCTGACTGCTAACCGGGGGAGCCACCCGGCTGCAGTCCTGTTCCCTGATCACAGCCACCCAGGGGTCTCCATCCTTGGCTTTGAGTGTCAGGGTTAGGAAGCCGCTTTGGGATGTGGCTCCAGGAATGCTCCATGGGGTACCCCTGGTCTTCCTTCCTTAGATGGATGAGACGGGTCGCATTCTCTCTAACCTGTGCAACGTGGTCCCTGGAGGAGTGGTCTGTTTCTTCCCCTCCTATGAGTACCAACGCCAGGTCCATGCCCACTGGGACAAGAGTGGCCTGCTGGCCCGTCTGGCTGTCAGGAAAAAGGTGCGTGACCTATCAGCTGGAGCCCCCACTCGTGAGGACAGTGGCCCCCAGGCACTCCTAGGATTTCTCATGCACATGAAACCAGATGGTTAGGCCTCATGAACGGGCTTCTGCTAGTTCCTTACCCCTGCCACTTATAATCCCTGATCACCACCCAGAGGATTTCCCCATAGCCCTTAGCTTGGTGGGGTTCTCCACTGCCCAGGCCTGGAGCAAAACTGAGACCCAGGCATTCTGAAACCCCTTCTTGGGAGATATTATCTATTTACCTTCAGATATTTAAGGAACCCAAGAGAGCCAACCAGGTGGAGCAGGTGCTGATGGAGTATTCCAGGTGCATTAAGGTGAGAGGCAGGCCTGCAGCCCTGGGTCCAGAGAACATGGGCCGGCAGCTGAAAATATTCTGGGCGGCAACCAAGCTTTGGCTCCACGACTCCAGGGCTGGGTATTCCCTTCAGTGCTGTGGCCAGGCAGGAGGCATGTTGACTGGGGCCCTGCTCTTCTCTGTGGTTGGAGGAAAGATGAGTGAAGGCATTAACTTCTCTGACAACCTTGGCCGGTAAGTGGCGGGCTTCTCATCTCTCGGGGCCCTGCCACCTGATCACCCCTCCCTCGGAGCATCCGGGCCCCTGCCTGTGATCCAGGGCCGAGTCTGCACTGGTCGGGTCAGCCCACTGCATGGGGGTATGTTTTGCCATCTTTGGATTTGGCCCTTTGAGACCAGGTAGAAAGGTAGGCCACAACTCTATCAGGACTCCATTCACTGGCCTGAACTAGACATCTTACCTGGAAAAACCCTCTCCAGGTGGTATGTATAGGGTGGGGAGCGATAGGCAGAGCGCTGAGCACAGCTTGTGGGGGCTGAGGAGGGGTGGCCGTAGCAGGTGACCTGGGAGTGGGGACCACATCCTCCATCCTGGGCCATGAGAACGTGAAGAGGGCCTGAGCGCCCACGTGCTGTTGGCTTCTCTGTGCTTCCCCCCAGGTGTGTGGTTATGGTGGGCATGCCCTACCCCAACATCAAGTCTCCAGAGCTGCAGGAGAAGATGGCCTACCTGGATCAGACCCTTGTGAGTACCTCCAGTATTGCAGAGGACGAGGAGAGGGCAGGAAGAGTTCTGCTGCTTCTGGGGCTGTAACCTCCCGACTGCACCTTGACAGGTGCCATGTTTCTGTTTGCTTGAGGGAGGGCTGCCCATCCATCCCCACTGGAGCTTCTCCGTGACATCATCCATTACATCAGCTGCTGGCATGGTGCCCACGCAGCCTACTGGTCTTGCTCCAAAGCCTGGCAGTATCATGCTCAGCACATCAGGCAGGAGACCTCTTCTGACAAGTCATCTCCTTTCCCTTCCCAGCCCAGAGCCCCAGGTCAGGCCCCCCGAGGGAAGGCTTTGGTGGAGAATCTGTGTATGAAGGCTGTCAACCAATCTATAGGTGAGCCCGGGACCATTCCCAGCTGGGGATGGGTGGTAGAGAGTGAGGTGGCAGGCAGCAGGGATTTCACTTGCATCTCCAGTCTGAGGAAGGGGCGGGCACACGGTAGAGGTGTGCTGTTGGGGAGGCAGGTTTAACAGCCCCAGCCTCTGTTCCCATCCAGGCAGGGCCATCAGGCACCAGAAGGATTTTGCCAGCATAGTGCTCCTGGACCAGCGGTATGCCCGCCCACCGATCCTGGCAAAGCTGCCAGCCTGGATCCGAGACCGTGTGGAGGTCAAAGCCACTTTTGGCCCTGCCTTTGCTGAGAGTCTGCACTGGTCGGGTCAGCCCACTGCATGGGGGTATGTTTTGCCATCTTTGGATTTGGCCCTTTGAGACCAGGTAGAAAGGTAGGCCACAACTCTATCAGGACTCCATTCACTGGCCTGAACTAGACATCTTACCTGGAAAAACCCTCTCCAGGTGGTATGTATAGGGTGGGGAGCGATAGGCAGAGCGCTGAGCACAGCTTGTGGGGGCTGAGGAGGGGTGGCCGTAGCAGGTGACCTGGGAGTGGGGACCACATCCTCCATCCTGGGCCATGAGAACGTGAAGAGGGCCTGAGCGCCCACGTGCTGTTGGCTTCTCTGTGCTTCCCCCCAGGTGTGTGGTTATGGTGGGCATGCCCTACCCCAACATCAAGTCTCCAGAGCTGCAGGAGAAGATGGCCTACCTGGATCAGACCCTTGTGAGTACCTCCAGTATTGCAGAGGACGAGGAGAGGGCAGGAAGAGTTCTGCTGCTTCTGGGGCTGTAACCTCCCGACTGCACCTTGACAGGTGCCATGTTTCTGTTTGCTTGAGGGAGGGCTGCCCATCCATCCCCACTGGAGCTTCTCCGTGACATCATCCATTACATCAGCTGCTGGCATGGTGCCCACGCAGCCTACTGGTCTTGCTCCAAAGCCTGGCAGTATCATGCTCAGCACATCAGGCAGGAGACCTCTTCTGACAAGTCATCTCCTTTCCCTTCCCAGCCCAGAGCCCCAGGTCAGGCCCCCCGAGGGAAGGCTTTGGTGGAGAATCTGTGTATGAAGGCTGTCAACCAATCTATAGGTGAGCCCGGGACCATTCCCAGCTGGGGATGGGTGGTAGAGAGTGAGGTGGCAGGCAGCAGGGATTTCACTTGCATCTCCAGTCTGAGGAAGGGGCGGGCACACGGTAGAGGTGTGCTGTTGGGGAGGCAGGTTTAACAGCCCCAGCCTCTGTTCCCATCCAGGCAGGGCCATCAGGCACCAGAAGGATTTTGCCAGCATAGTGCTCCTGGACCAGCGGTATGCCCGCCCACCGATCCTGGCAAAGCTGCCAGCCTGGATCCGAGACCGTGTGGAGGTCAAAGCCACTTTTGGCCCTGCCTTTGCTGCTGTGCGGAAGGTCGGTGCTGCCTTCTCTTCCCCGGAAAGTCCCCCACCCTCGCAATGTCGTGTCTCACGGTCTGTCTCCCCAGTTTCATCGTGAGATGTCTGGCCCTGCCTGACAGGGGTGCAACCCTGCCTGCTCACCGGGATCCTGCCTGACAATGGGAAACCCAGGTGGAGAGCGCAAGCCCAGACCAGCCCCTTCTGGGACTAGCAGGCTGCCGGGATCCAGGCATAGGCAGGCAAGCCACCGAGAGAAAACCAACTGATGGTGTGGAACCGTGGGGCCTGGCCATCCCCTGGCGCATGCCTGCAGTTCCCGCCCTGGGGTGGAGTCGTCTTCCCACTCGCATGGCTGTCCCCGGGCTGCCCTCGGCGGGTGGCTCAGAAGCTGTGGCCCTGCGCCACAGTGGCTCTGCTTGGTTTCCCAGCACTTTTCTGTAGCCGGCAGCTGGAACCAGCCCACCCTGCCTCCCCCGTCTGCCTCCCTTTTCTGTTAAAATTAGCTGTTGGAGACTTTTCTCCGTCTCCTCAAATTAAAAATGTTCCCCATTTCTAGCCCACTGGTGTCAATGGGGCTCTTTCTGCCCAGGGGCTTCTGGCCACCCAGCCTCCTTCCCTCTAGCTGGTGAGGCGCCCTGTGCCCACCCCCACTGCTGGCCTTGCCTGCTCACAGCCCACCCAGCATCCCGTCTCCCTGGCCTGGGTCTAGGTACCCACTCCAGTCAGTGGTGCCTCCCTCCCTCTCAAACCCATGAGCAAACACCAAGACACCTCCCAACACCAGCAACGACGCCAAGGGCCAGTAGGCTCTCAGCATGACTATTTTTAGAGACCCCGTGTTTGTCACTGAGACATTTTTTCCCCTGTGAAAATATCCCTCCTCCATCTGCCACAGCCTCCCCTGCTGATGTCCTGCTCTTCCCTCCCTGACCCCACAGAAGGGGCCCTTGGGCCATATGGGACTCTGTCCCCACTGCCTAAGACCAGTGGGACCTAGAAGCCAGGTACTGGCTGGAGCTGTTTGCACAGCTCCAGTTCCTCAATTAAAAGTGTACTATCACTTTATGCTCAGTCCGCATTACACTAATTTATTGATCAGGTACTATTTTATCTCCAAACATTGGTGGAGGGGGTAGGTAGAGCCCGGGCTGCTCCTTCTTACCTGCCCAGCTGTCTGACCTCAGAAGCTGGCCTCCTCACTCCTTGGAGAAGGCCCAGGCACAGCCCTGGGACAGCCCCCCGCAATCCCCGCCCCTTCAGGCAAGGGCAGCAGGGCCTGGGGGGCGCCGCAGGCCAGGGAGCCCATCCTGGCTGCTCCTGTGCGAGGGCCACAGCCAGGCCTGAGTTTGGGGGCAGGAGCGGCCGGGCCCTAGGATTCCCAATCACCCTCCTCCTCTCCGGGGGGCTGCTGTGGGGGAGGTAGAGGGGGGATGGAGTCCGACATCCGAGCAAAGGCGCCTCCTGGCCCCTCAGTGGCCCCCATCCCAGGTCCTTTCCCAGAGATTCCTGGAAGGGCAGAAGTAGGGGGGGTCAAGGGCTGGGTTTGGGGTCACCAGTTCACCCAGACCCTAGAGACTTAAACAGGAATAAAGGCAGAACGTGCTCAACGCAGAGTGTCCTGAGATCCCAGCCCAGGGGAGGTGGCCAGTGCCCTGCCTCCTACCTTTGCGCCTCATGACCAGCTTGTTGAAGAGATCCGACATCAGGTCCCCACCATGGCTACTGGCTCTCCCTGCAACAGGAAAGCCCCAGGAGGGAAGTGAGGGACCAAGTGCAGAACATGCCCCCAGAATGGCATCCCCAAGGCTCTAACACGTTTGTCCTCTGCTCACCACCAACAGCCCAACCCCTTCATAGCCACCATGTCACCACCAGCTCATGGAGCCTCAGTCAGTCTGCAGACCCAGCACCGGGGCACTGGTACAATGGTCAACATTTGAGTAACGTGGTCACAGCCACCTTGTGAGACAGAGGGATGAGGTGAGGGGCCCATGGTACAGGTGAGGAGACTAGGAGAGGTTGGGCAGTCTGCCTGAGATCCCAGTGCAGAGCTCAGAGGCAGAGCCGGGACTCAAACTCAGGGCTGTTGACTTCTGGGGCATTTTTGCTTTTTGCCCAGGTGTAACATTTATGCCAGTGTTAGGATTCTGAGTGGACAGAATCTGTAGTCTCAGGAGGCCTGGAAAAGCAGGATGGGGCTACCCCTCAGGTCCTGTGTGTCCCAGAATATCGCAGGACGCCAGCCACTGCCCTGGTCAGCTCCTGGCACAGTCTAAGGAGATTCTCGGCACAACTTGAGCCAGGCAGCCTCTGTCCCCTACCAACTTAGAAAACAAAGTTCGAATAAGCACCTCCAAAACCAGTTCAGAACCTACGGCCCGGGCAGGAAGAATGGGGACGTCAGGGGTGGCCATCAGCACAACCCGGGGAGAGCAGGGTCAGCTGGCCGGGAGCAGCCTCCTGACGTGACAGCACCCTAGGCACAGTGGTGGCTGGAGGAGTAGGCAGCGCCCTCCCCCTGGCACGCAGGGTGCGGCCCGCACCTTGCTCCTGCTCCTTCTGCTTCTTCTTCTCCAGCTTGCGCTCCTTGACGCTGCGGAGCTTGGCCTTGCCGATGCCCCCGGCCTGGCGGATGGACTCAAGCAGGGTGGCCCGGCCGCTGGAGGGGTCCACCACTTCCTTGGGCGCACCCTGGACTGGAGCTGGGGTGGGGAAGGGTGTGAGGAACAAAGGCTGCTCAGGCTGGAGGTCCAGAGGCCTCCCCTCAAAAGCCTGGCTGGGAGGAAGGGCTCTTGAGCTGGTGAGGTGGAGCTTGGAGACTGCATGGGGCCTCGCTGCTGACTGCACCCGCCCAAACTCGAGAAGTCTATCCAGGCTCCCTGCTCCCTGTCCAGCCCCAACTGGTTTACGTGCCACCCTGCATAGGTGGACCCTAGGAATTTATCTGAGTGGACAACGTGTGAACTTGACTCATGAGTCAACAGGGGTTTGTGTGCCATTTCTGCAGTGCTGGAGGCAGACTAGGAGATAGACCGAAACTGAAATTCTTCAGCTTAAAAACACATGGATATTTTGTTGCTATTTTTTCAGTAGCTCCTTTTTTCATTGGTTTAAACAGGAACGAGGACCCACAGCCCACGTCCCAGGCTCCCTCCACCCTGGAGATAGAATTCCAGGGCTTAAAAAACAAGGTCTGAAAAACGCAGTTTTATGAACCCAGTAACAAGATTTTGAAATTGGAATTACTCTGAAAATCTAGAACTCATGACTACATAACAAACCCACAGAAACTCCTTCAGGGATCCGGAAGTGAGTGGCAGCCCCCCACAGCCCCCTGGCGCCCTAGCGGCACTCCTACCTGAAGGAGACACACCACTGCTGCCGTCCTGCCTGGCATCTTGGCCCGGAGAGCCTGCCATCTGGGGTGGCGGGGGTGGTGGGGGAGCGCTGACCAGCACTGCTGGGGCTGGAGGGAGCGGTGGGGGTGGTGGGGGTGCTGTGAGCACCCCGTGTTCTGGGTCTGAAACGGAAATGTGAAGAAGCATGAGGTCCCCAGGGAAGAAAGGCCGAGCTGGGGAGCTCCTGCCCATGCCCAGCTCTCAGCTCACCTGGCTTAAAAGGCTCAGCTACCTCTGTGTGGAAGGTAGGCAGCTCTGGAATGGTGCCAGGGGCAGAGGGCGCGATGCCGGGGCCCAGATCAGCACTGTACATGAGGTCGTCAGCAATGCCTGGCAGGTCGGGCAGGTAGGACGGCACGTCAATCTCGGGCACTTGGCCCAAGTCAGGCACGTAGAAGTAGTTCTCTGGAACCTGCAGGATGAGGTGGGGTATGCGAACAGGGTTGTTGGGGCATACCCATGCACCGCTGGGTGGGAGAACGTGACAGGGCTCTACCTGCTGCTCCAGCTGCTCTCTCTTGCTGATGGACAGAGGGGCATCAAACAGCTTCTCCTCCGTCTCTGCCCGCAGCATTACATGGGTCTTTGTGACAGCACCAGCCAGGGGGTCCAGGAAGACGTACTTTTTGTACCTACAGAGGTGGGGTGGAAGTCAGGTGGTCTGTCAGGTGGTCTAGACCCAGGTCCTCACCACTTGTCCCATCTCACTGGGGCCGTCATCCGTTTGTGCGGCAGGCTCTTAAGCCACACAAGGCAAACCAAATGGGTCAGCCCGGGCTGCAGGCTCCTCTGCTCCTCAGTCTATCTATCACGTTCCAGGGCCCCCTTGAAGCCCAGCCCAGCCACACGGTTGCAACCCTGTCTTCTGGCCGTACAGGTTCTCAGTGGTGTTGAAGAGCAGCAAGGAGCTGACAGAGCTGATGTTGCTGGGCAGACCCCCAAGCCCCTCCTCGGCCTCATCCTCAGGCTCCGGCTTGGTGATCACACACACGGGGAAGTACTTCAGCTTCTCCTGGGCATGAGGGGTGGGGGCAGGGGTGACAGAGGGATGCTGGGTTTCAGCACCAGTCCAAAGTGACCTCCACCTCATCCCAGTCAGGATCTTCTAGGTGGAGGGGACAAAACCCTGTGGTGGGCCCTCAGTGTCTCCCCAACATCCAGGGTCAGGGCCACCACTGGTCACCCCCTGCAAGTGTGTGAGCCAGGTTAGCCCGTCAGACCTGCAGGGCCCACTCATCCAGGGGGCGGTGCTTGCTCTGGATTCTGTGGCGGGAGCGTCTCTGCAGGCCAGGGTCCTGGGCCCCTGTGAAGATGGAGCCGTACTCCTGCAGGCGCTCTGGAGCCGGGTACTTGGCACTGGAGAACACCTGCGGATGGAGTCAGGTCACCTCTTAAGGGGTCGGGAAGCTCCAGAGCCCAGGGTTGGGCGGGGGGAGAGGGGATTCTGGGTAGGAGGAAAGCTTGAAATGTGGCTGGGCAGCAGAGGCAGAGCCCTGGGCAACCTCAGAGGCACAGAGAGATGGAGCGAATAAGGTTCTGGGACTGCCCACCAGCCATGGGGATACGGACACGTGGGCTACCTTGATGGCTTTCTTGCTGCCCTTGATCTTCTCAATCTTGGCCTGGGCCAAGGAAACCCTCTCCCCAATGGCCTGCAGCTGGCGCCGGCTGAGCTCCACTCGTTGGGAGATCCTGCCACGGAAGAAGATCACAGGGGCTGGGGGCTGCTCCCCATGTCCCTGCAGCCTCCTACATGCCTCCCACTTCCAACAGGCAAGCTGTGAAGCCAGGGACTTGGGAAAGGCTCTTAAAATGCAGTGTTATCTGCTTGTCAGGGCCAGTGTGGGAACTGCCCAGGGGACCTCTAGAAGGACCATCTAACCTCAAGGTCTAGGAATGAACTTTTAAATGCTCTGGAGCTCTGGGTAGCGATGGGCAATCACTGATCCCAAGCTGGTGTTTGGAGCCTCAAGCAGGGGCAGAGACAACTGTCACGACTCACATATAGTCACCTACGTACAGATGAGGAAATGAGAGTTCAGCAAGTTGAGTGACAGGCAAGGCTGAGTCTAAAGCAAGTCCTAGGTCTGTTCAGGAGGAACTGCCACGACACATCATAAATTTAGAGTCCTCCCCATGGTTCCGATGATTGAGGTCAGACCGCTCACAGGCTTCCACTCCCCCACCCGTTAGTGGGCTCCAGAGACTCTGGGGCCCTATTCCCCGAACATGCCAAACAGGCCTGGGCATGAAACAGGGTGCCACTGCCCCAGATACCCACGCTGGGCTCCTTCACTGAGCACCCTCCTTGCCAGAGCCTTCTTGACCACGAGATCTGAGCATGCACCTGTCGCTTCCCAAGCCCCTCTGACACAGAGCACTTGGGGTTGTGCACTGATGGCCTGTGTGCTCCAAGGGGCGAGCACCTTGTTTTGTTCCTTGCTCTATTCCCAGTGCCTAGAACAGTGCCTGGCACCTGCGGGGCCTCCCTCTGTGGTTCCTGAATGCCTGACACCCATGCACCCTAAACCTAAATGCACAAGAGCCTCACTTAGGCTGGCCTGCATTGTTTGGCAAGAGCAAGGTTCTCATGCAGTTAATTCCAACTCGCATGTGCCAGGGCATCCTCCTAAGTCCTCCCCAACCTCCAAGAACACAAGCCCCTGCCTATGACTCCTGTGTCAGCATTCATGGTGGGCACGTATCCATGCTCACCCAGCAGGAGTGAGCGCACAAGTAAGACACAAGAAACGAGACAGAGTAGCCAGTTCAGGTCATGGGAAAGGCCAGAGGATGGTGGATGAAAGGGTTAGGGCCCACTAACTTAGGGTGGACCCTATATGGCCAGGGAACTCTAGTTCTTTACATGTTGGAATGTACAGTCAAGACTCCAACCCAACCTTCCTGAGCCAGCTGCCCACCAGCTCTACAAGGGGTTGGCCCCCAGAACACCCACCCCATCAGCCAATTCCACAACCCAGGGGTTTCCAACCCCTAGTGAAGCCTCCCTGATTATTCTGGACTCCTCAAAGTCAGGGGGCTCCGGGAAGCAGGGGCAGGGGTACAAGCAGGCACCCAAAGCAGCCTAGGTTCCTTGATGGGCCCGAGAAGGCAGCAGTACAGACGGAGGGCAGAGGACAGAGTCTCTGTCCAATGAGAGGAGGTGGTACCATCTGACACCTCCAGCTCATCCCAGTCAGGATCTTCTCAGCGGAGGAGACAGAACCCCATGGTGGGTCCTCAGTGTCGGGGAAGGGGAAGTCCAGCACAAGCTGTTTCCGCCAGCTCCTGATTCAGCCACATTCTGCACCTGGGCGCAGAGCAAGCTCAGTGGTTGCACAACCATTCCACTGGAAGTCATACGGAGAGTGGGAGGGACGTCAGGACCGGAGGTGGACGAAGGCAACTCTGCTGTGCTTTTCCCCTCAAGGAGGGAAGCTTGATTTCTGAAAGTTGCAAACATCAAGCTGAACAATGAACCCTGGCAAATCTCTGGAATGATTATTAAATAGAGGGTCTGTAAGCAGTTGGAAAAGGAAGAGACAGATCCCAGGGGCCAGCATTGTTCTAAATTCACAGCATTTCTTTTTTTGACAGCATTATTAAACTGGCGTCTCAAGGGAAAGCCTGAAACACAGTGCATCTTGAGTCAGCAAGGATTTCAACAGCTTTTCACAAAATCCTGTGGACAAGATGGAGCTGTGGGGGTTGGAGGAGAATACATTCAAGAAAATACAGCCAGAGGAACACCACCACACAGGGCGCTGCTGAGGAACGGACTGCTGTCAGCCCCACAGAGGTCCCCGGGAGGGCCCCATCCAGCTCACTCCACGCCTGGGATGTAAACTAGGAATGTCAAATGGGAGGGTCAAAACGGTCGGCGTGATGGAATCAAGACTCAAAAAATCTTTTAAGAGGTCAGAAGGATGGGCTGCAATCAACAAGACAAAAATGCCAAGGAATGACTGTGAAGCCCAGCGTTAAGTTTAAAAAGCCAAGTGCACAAATACAGAAGATGGAGGTTTAGCAGCAAGACCTGAGATTTTGGTTACCTATAAGCTTGGTATGAGCTAAAAACATGTTCCTAGGCAGCCTGCACAGGAAATGCAACCTTAGGGCACATGGTCCCTTGTCCTGTCCTACCCTCCTTCCTTCTTTCAATGAACGGGGAAAATCCACTCTCTTGGAGGCAGTAGAGAGGAAACAGAGCAGCAGATAATGAGATAATCTATGCCAGGCACCAATCTCCATAGCTGTGTCCCCTTTAAACTGGCTCTCAATTCCCTCCTGGACTGTAGGGCCTGTCCTATTCACAGCTGTACCTCTAGCACCTGGGACAGTGCCTGACACATAATAAATACTGGCTGGAAAAAAGTGACAACCAACGTCCAGAAGAGGGTGAGAGGACGTGAAGAATGAGACACTCCTGTCAGACAAAGGAACTAAAGGCCACTCTGGCTACAGATGAGATGACTCAGAGAATACGATGATTCCCGTCAAATATCAAGAACACTCCAAGAGCTTCAGGTGGGAAAGTGATCAGACGTATTCTCTGTCACCCCAGAGGGCTGCACTGGGAGCAGTGTGGAGTTACAAGGACGCAGATCCATAAGAACTTCCTAGTAAACAGCTGCACAGCTTTGCAAAGCAATCAGATTGCAGCTGGATGGCCCCTGTCAGAGATGCTCCAAGGGAGACAAGAGATTTCCTCTGTGCAGCAGGGGTTGGAAGACATGATTTCCAGGGTTCTTTTCTTATCCAAGAGCCATAGTGTACGTAATGGCTTCTAATTGACAAAGCCCCCAGAGAGTCTAATCTCTTAGTCATACGCCCAGGAGAGTACAGACCACAAATGAGGAAAGGCTTTCAATCTCTACGTTGCCTCTACCGACAGGTGGCAGCAGTCTGGAAGGCTGTTAGGAAGGATGGTCAGGCCACATAGGGGCTGGGATGGAGAGCTATGAACGACGAGTGGCCCCAAGGAGGGCGAGGAACGGGGGCAAGAAGGTGATCTGTTTGCCTTTCCTGATCTAGGCCCCCTGGCCTAGTGGTCTGCTTCAAAGTTAAGTCGGCCTCAGAGCTCATCACTGAAGCCATATGCCCATAACACATCTGCCCAGACACCGCAGAGGGCTGCGTCTGGTGGTGCCAGAGCACAGCCAGCTACCCAGGGGCTCAGAGCCTGGGGCAGAGATGAAACCGATAACACATCTGTCCTCAAGAAGATTCCAGCCCACCAAGGAGACAGCTAATATGATGCCCCACAGACCCAGGTTTAATATCTGTTTAGTATGGGGGTGACCTTGGGCAAGTCACTGAATTGGCCTTATGTCTTCAGCTGAAGAAGGAATAGTAACCTCTTCACCATGGAATTATTGTGAAGGTTAAAATGACCAAATGCGTCTAGTGTTCGTCATCCAGCTGCCACATCCTAAGCACTGGGTTAACATTCGCTATTACTTGTAAGACTGGGGGGGGGGAGGGCTCCGGGCACTCAGAGGGAAGCAAGGGGAGAGTGAAGCAGACAGGGAGAAGTTCCAGGCCCTTGGCAGGAGGACACCATGGCAGCCGCTCTGCTGGCTGCGGTGTGGGGGCATCAGGCGAGCACAGGGAGCCCTCCCCTGGTGTGGGCGTGGAGGGGGTAGGGTGCCCAGGGCAGTGCTCAGGCTTCCCACCCACCACCCACACAGCGGAGCCCTGCGTGGTCCTTGGGGCCTACAGGCTGCGGGGGTGGGGGGAGGTCACCCCTCCCGGAGCTGCCCCCGCCCCTGCCTGTGCTCTCCTAGGCATGCAGACCTGAACCTGGGCTCTTGCCTTCACCTTCATCTTTTCCACTCACTGGGATAATTAAGAATGATCTGCTAATTATGCAGGTGGCTGATTGAGTGCTTCCTAACCTTGGGAGTCACCAGGTGCCAGTCAGGAGAGAAAGGAGGGGAGCGGAGGATGGGAAGCTGGGAGGAGGCAAGGAAGGAAAAGGGGAAAGGATGGGGGAGGAGAAAGGAGGGACGGAGGAAGGATGGGGAAGAGGTAGGAAGGGAGAAAGCTTTACGGAGAATACGGGGCCCTTTCTCCAGGAAGGACGGGCTGCCGCTTCCCGGGTGGAGAGTCAGGAGGGGCTGATGAAAATGGAAAATGACAGCACCCCAACTTCCACCACACAGTTTGTCCGGCTACTCTGGTCCCCTCAACCTCGTCATCTAAGTCATGTGAAGCAGATGACGTCTCTGGACAGTTATTTTGGGGCCTGGCTGCTCCCAGGTGAAGAACCCGGAGGTCTGCTAGGCTGGAAGAGGAGCCTGGAGGGCGGGGCAGGGAAGGTGGGGCGCGGGGGAGCAGCAGGGCTGGGAGAGCCTGAGAGGCCCTCGTCATTCTCTGCCGGCTCTGCAGGCTCCGCAGCACCCGCGCTGAATGCTAATTTCCCATGAGCTCACCTGCCTGCAGAACTGAGGGCAGGCTTCAGCGCGCAAGCGGCTGGGCCGGGCCTGGGGTGCCAGAGCTGTGGGGAGGGGAGGTAGAAGGACCCCAGAACCAAGCCAGGTCAGTGGTGAGTGGGACTCCGGAGGAAATGCGACACAGAGGACAGCACTGCTTCCGGCTGGACCTGAAGCTGTGTGTGAGCTCCAACCCTCCTGGTTACCGAGGCACCACCAGACCTGTCTAGGAATGGGGCCAACTGAAAAGCGGCAAGC